AAAAAATAAATTTTTAAGTGTAAAGAAGGGACTGAGGGCTGAAGCAATAGCACAGTGGGTAGGGTGTTTGCCTTGCGCGCGGCCAACCCAGGTTTGATCCCCAGCACCCCATATGGTCCCCTGAGCACCACCAGGAGTGACTCCTGAGTACATGAGCCAGGAGTAACCCCTGTGCATCACCAGGTGTGACCACCACCCCTCAAAAAAAAGAATTGGCCAGAAGCTGACTTCACCGGAGCAACTCAGAGAAGGGTGGGTGAATCCCCCTCCCCACCCCAGCAGAGCCCTAGTAGCCAAAAACCTCCAGAACTCCAATGCCACCGTACTCATGGCTGCCCTCCACAGTCTCGAACGAGCCTCCCCCATGAGGAATCTGCTGTAGAATCATTCTAAATTTTAGAATTCCTGGAGCACGCAGCTGCTATTGTGGCCGTGACCTCTCATACTCTACACCACTGATGTACTAAGAGCAGCACATACAGGCTTACTGACTCCAGGATGAAATACAATAATCTTTACACACTTACCTCTAAGGAAACTTTATTGGACCATTTTTACCAGATTATTCATAAAAAGCAATACAAAATTAATTGTTCCGTTACTGCTTTGGGAGGCACGGCTTGGGATGTGGAGTGGAAATATTCGAAATATGGTGGTGGGACAGTGCAATGTGGTAGGATTGGTGCTCGAATATTGAATGTAATGAATTTTTGTGAAAAACTTTATAAAAATTAAATTTTAAAAAAGTTCAAAAAGTCCATTTTCTGAAGCACAATTATAACCAACTCTAATTTCATAAAACTTCTCAGTATTTTCTCCACAGATTATATTATCCCATAACCCTAAAAGGAAGATGAAGGAACTGACAATACCCTCACTCAGCTGGAAAAATAAAACCAAGGAGAGGAAATGAAAGACTGTAATTATTTTAATCAGAAGACAGAATTTGAAATGGGAGGGTTACATTTCCATGAAATTTCCAATGCATTGTTAATAAGAAGAGAAACGTGGCCAACTCTCTCTCTCACACAAACACACACACATGCAAACAATGAGTTTATAAAGCACAAGAGGTTAATATACCCAAGAAAGAAATAACTTCCTAATGATGAGACAAGGAATGAGAGGCACAGTAAAGTTATGAAATGCTTCTTCTGGAATCTTAACGTTTACAATCTAGTTTATTCACCTGGAGAGGATTTGAGGCCAGGGAAAATGATAGCATAGCATAGCATGGATCTTCCTTTTCTAGCCTCAAGTTGTCTATAAAAGTAAAAGTCAAGTAAAAGAATCAAGAAATACCTATTGAATCTCCATTTAGAACCTCTTTGGATCTACAAGCAAGTCAGTAACCTCCAGGGTTTCCTGGTATTTCTCTCATTCTCTATTCCCCGCCATAAAACAGAGCAGGAATATTCCACACACATCCAGGTTAGGGAAATGTAAAAAAAATTTGAGGAATTTTTAGCACCTCTATTATACTAGGAGAGAAACATTGGAGTACCAACATTTCCAGCTACTGAAATTTTCAGCTTCTGACTGCCTGAGGACCAAGATCAAGAAGGAAAAGAAATGAAATAGGGACAGTGTTACCTCGATGGAATCCCCAAGCTAAGACAGTTACTCTTTACTCTTAATGAATGCATAAAGTGAGATTAGAAGTCCTTGTTTCTCTCCAAATCTCAGGATAGTCATCTGTAAGTACAATCAAAACCAGTGCTCCATAAAAACCCATCACACTGTGATGAATGGGTTTAGCATAGGCTTAGGAGACACTTAAACCCACAAAATCAGTATGTGATCCAGGTTTCCTGTTTTCCATACTCACCCCTACAACTTCCCTTAATCTACTTGGCTGCCTCCAGTTCTACTTACAGGTTCAAACATGGTCTTGAACCTTACTGTCACTGTCACTGTCACTGTCCTGCCACTGTTCATCAATTTGCTAGAGCGGGCCCAGTAACATCTCCATTGTGACACTTGTTACTGTGTTTGGCATATTGAATGTCACGGGTAGCTTGCCAGGCTTTGCTGTGCGGGCAAAATACTCTCGGTAGCTTGCTGAGCTCTCCAAGAGGGGTGGAGGAATTGAACTCAGTTTGGCCATGTTGGCTGCATGCAAGACAAACGCCCTACCTGCTGAGCTATTGCTCCAGTCCGGTCTTGAACCTACAGATAATTTTTAGATCCCTTTCTAAAACCATTTTTAAAATCCTGTTTTTTAATGGTACACACAAAAATGTTTAATGCCCTCAATTCCTTATTCTTTGATAGATAGCCTCTTTCCCCATTATCAGATATCCCACTCTATAGATTGCATCTCGGGGACCCCCACCCACTGGACACCACCTTTCCTGAACTTTAGAACCACACAATCTCAGCCAGAAAAATTTTAGTTACCTCACCCTGTCTGACTATATGTCATCCCCCATTCCTGATTTTGCTTTTTGATTGGTACTTTTTGCCTAGCCTTATACTCTTTGGAAACTTCTCAGAATGATCCCCTCATTCCCCTGAATGTATAGACATCTCTTATCTCTCTAGAGGAGTTTGTCTCTTGCCTTGTGAAGGAGAAATTAAAGGTATATAACTTAGTTTGGGGGTCTTGGCAATATAGATACAAAGCTTGCTTTGTTGTTGAATGAAGACGTCATGATTTTTTTCGTTATTCGCAACCCATGTCTCTTCTCTACCCTCATTAGGCATTGTCAAGAAATATCTGAGTCATGGGTATTATTTCCATAATCACTTGTTTGGAGGAGCCACACCCAACAATGACTGGGGTCACTCCTGTTGATGCTCAGGGATTGAACCCAAGACTGCCAGGTACAAATTATGTGCCTCAGCACTTTAAGCCATCGCAGCTGTTCCTAATCACTTTCCTATGCCTCAGAAGAAGCTGCAAGTTCTTAACATTCTAAAAAGACTGGCATTATACCTATCTGAATCAAACTATTAAAAATATAACCTAAACATCAATAATTTAAAATAAAATGTGAGGCAATTTGAGGTGATACAATTACTTTGTATAAGAGAACTATTGATATATTAAACTACTTTAACCATGTTACTCAAACTATAATTAAAAAATCTTAGCTTTCTGAAAACAAAATACAATAAAATAAAAGTATGAGCATTAGTCGATCTCCAGTACTACGTATGTCCACCAAGCACTGTCAGGAGTGATTTTTGAGCACAGAGCCAGGAATAATACACTCATACATATATGTGTGTGTGCGTGTGTGTGTGTTTGTGAAATAAAATAAAAAGACTTGAAAAGCTTTCATTAATTGCTATGCATTTCTAGGTTTTGATGGTGTTGTAGCTTACTTCCAGGTTCTCTTTAGCTCTCTTAGGAGTTCTTAGCCATCTTTGTTATCACAGATTTGAGACAGAAAAACTTAATTATAATTTGTGTACTACTGTAACTTAAGCCTGAAAATGATCAGGGATCCAAAAAGCCTGGAAGAGTTCTGAGAAAGAAGAGGTCGGGTTTTAAAAATACACAAAAGCAATGAGTCCAGAGCTGAGGAGAGAGGATTTGAACAGTAAACAGATTTAGGTGTGGAAGGGAATTATATAGGACATATATGCTCAGGTGACATAAGGTTTGAAGCAGGATAGAGGGCCTGAGATGGAACTACCTAGCAACAAACAAGGGAGCCAGTCAAGTCCCTCAGCTACTCCCTCTCCAGTTCTTCATAAAGGCCTAGAGTGAGCAACAACTGGACCATAATGGTGTAGGGTGGGTATGAGCAAAAGAAGAACTGCACTGGGGTGGGGGGGAGCTTTGCTGTACTCCTCTAGTTGGGAGTACAACATAGTGCCCTCCACCATGCCTATTCCTAAAAAGCTGCAGTATGCTGGCAGTACTGCAGAGGAAAGTATTTGAGGGGGGAGATGCAAAGCTCACCTTGATCCCACAATCCACACAAGCATAATCCTGGCCAAATGGAAGTCAGTTTTGTGGTCCAGTCCAGCTGCTGTCAGGTTATCTGGGTTGAATGGTCTTTGGAAGACACAACCCCTCACAGTATACTGTTGGAGCACAGATAAAGCCTGATGATCATCAGTGTCAGAAGTGTCTACAGAAGACAACAGCAGCAGTTTAGTGTGTTGATATTATTAAAAAAAAAACCTGAAAAGTTGAAGGTTTTGGCTTTGTGTATCACAACCCAGACAATATGTACCATGCTACAATAATTGATCCCTTGGCCTCTGACACAGAACCCCCCCACACACACACACATACACATACATACACATAACACCTTACTTAATACTATTTTTAAACAGGAGTCTGTAAAGAAAAAAATACCTTCATGCCCTCTGTAGAAGAGGAAGTAAGACAAGGCCAGAGGAGTGGAGATACAGGCAGTCTTGCAGTTCTAATCCAAAGACTAGCTTGAGCTACAGGTCTACAGAAAACCTCCGGTTAGGAGTCAGCGTATATCCAAATCCACATCAAAATTAAACAGGCCCAGGTTAGATCACTGGATTCCTATGCAGTGCCCAGAGCCCAGAGAAGAGGGGGAAGCAAGTGATGCACTGGAGAAGGAAGGGTAGGGCGGAGGCAGGGCCTTCAGGGTGAGAGGTACTCGCCCTAACAGTAGTTTCAGCAAATGTGTTACAAAAACGCAGTGGTTTCCCAGGTTTACAAAAGCACCACTGTGGGTGCTAGCTGACGGTTCCCCTCCCAGGACCACGAGGCGGCAAGTCCGGGCCCATCCGTGACTCCCCAGAGAGGAGAATCTAGAGGTATGGCCCACGACGGCCCACCAACCTACCCACCTCTTCTTCCCGCTCTAGCTTAGGCCGCCCGCGTCCAGCTGCATCCGGGGACCTAGCGGCTGCTTCGCGAAACGGATTGTAAGGCGAACCGGAGTGAGGCCCAGACGACAAACAGCCCAGCCCTTACTCTCTAGACTGCAGGAGCAGGGCGCTCGAACTGCAACAGGACGACCCGCAGGCGGAGCCTCCTGGCCGCACACAACGCTTACCCGGCCGGGTCCGGTTCCCGGCTTTGCTCTAGCCGGGCTGAAACCTTGGCTGCCAGGGTTAAGGACACAGCCAACACAACAGCCGCGGTCGCCTCCTGCACTGGACCCCCCTTCTCCAGGCTCTGGGCAGGTCCCCCCCCCATAACACGCCCCCCCGCCCCCCCGCTCACACATACAATTCCACAACCATAGGGTGGGGCGTCTGCGAACTGATCGGCAGGCCTGTGGTCCAATCACCACCGCGAGAAGACATACCTAGTCCACTCCCCTTTCTTGGTGCGTTTTCCTTTAAATGAGGGCGTGGCGTTGTCCGGGGGAAGGGGGCGGTACTGAACCCCTCGCTTCCTGCAGTCTCTGCGATTCTCCAATGGTTCTCGAGGCTGCCAGGCCGCCCCCTGGTGACACCACGGGTTCAAGGCTTTCTCCCAAAAGGGGCGCGCCAGGGCCCTAGATCTCGGTTTCGGCTTTACATGTGCTTTCATTTTCTTGCTGGTGTGCGACAGTGCTACGGAGACCCGGCCACCTTCAGGCGACTTGTTTCCGAGCGAGAAGCGGAAGTGGAGAGGCAGGCCTGGAAGACTTCAGAATGCATCTCTCCCTCCCCCCAGCGCCCAAGTGGGCTGACCCAGATGCATAAAAATTTCTCTCCGTTCTACGCGCCTCCTGGCCTTGAAAAGGAGGCACTCGCCTTCCAGAAGACAAGCAGTGTCCCTCTGTAGCAGTGTCCCTCCGTACGGCTTATCTACCTTTCCTACATAATATGGTTTTAGGAATTGCAAAATCAACTTTCCCCATTTGCAGAAGGGTCTGCCGCTGCCTAGAGCGCGTCTCAAAGGTCACCCAGCCTGCCAGAGACCAGAGCTAATTTGAAATTCAGAACCCACTGTTTTCAACTTTTGTCCTTGTTGTGGGAAGATACCTGTTCGAACCTCATGGGGTCGATACCTCCAACCATTCGTGGAACTTGAAGGGATCTGTACGGATAAGTGGAGTTCCACCGCAACCACTTATTTATTTATTTTAATGACAAACCAGACTTTGTTAAGTTTCCTGACCCCTGGAAGTCTGGTACAAAACAAATCTCTGGGCCCAGGCCATCTGAGAAAAGAGCGAAAAAGTCTGAACCAACCATCCCTATTGCTGTGCCTGAACTGTGTCAGAGAGTGCTTCCTGAGCTTTGAAGTCCAGCTTGTTGTCAGTTAAATAAATGGCAGCAATGGGAGACGTGAGCCGAGATTGAGATACAGAATCTAGTTTTACCCCTAGCTTACGACTATCTAGAAGGCTCATTCCAAGAACCCAATATCTAAAAATAGCAGGCAGCTAGGGGAAAGAGGAGTCTTAATATTGAGAAGAGGGGAATGATAAGCTACTCCTGCCATTTCTTTTGACTTTTGGGGGTCACACCTGGCAACACTCAAGGGTTATTCTACACTCAGGAATTCTGGCGATTCTTGGGGACCATAAGGAATTGAATTACGTTGACGGCTTGCAAGGCAAACACCCTACCCTCTATACTATCACTCCGGCCCCAGCCTCCCATTTTTTTAATTGCTGGGAAGACTCTTCTCTGCAGTGCTAAGGGTTTGTGACTGTTTTGTGACTCAACTCTCATAGTGGAAGGATAGTACATGTGCAAGTGTGGACTACAAGAACTGACATGACTGCTGGAGCTGGCATCTGACTCCAGATCTGCCTCACACTTATACTGCCTCATACTGTATGAACCTGGACAGCTGCTTTTCTTTTTTTTTTTTTTTGACAGCTGGTTTTCATGCCTGCCAGTCCTTCAGTCCATCTCCATAAAGACTCGTCAAGCATTTTGGTCTCTTCTTTCACTGACAGTTGGAATCAATTCTCTCTATAATATTTTGTGATGGGCCATAAACTTCTATACATTTTCAACAAAACCCAGAAATGTGAACACTCTCAACAATTTATTCTATTCCCAAATCTAAACAAATGGCAGCATAGAGGAAGCTACCACTGGTTCACTGTGCTTCTTAACTTCAATTTCCCCATTTGAATGACTGGACTGAAGTATTTTCCAGGAACATTGCTTTCCTGTTTTGCCAAGTCCCGATTAACATTTCGTGGACCTTTTTGAAGTCATTCATTTCTTTTCTCCTAACACCTCCTTCTTAGGTTTTCATGATGCTTGCCTGGTACCAGTTCACATTTCACCTTGATTATCTCGAATGGGCCAGATATGATAATTTTGAGAAGGAAAATTTGAAATCTAGAACCCAGGGAGACAAAGGATCCTGACAGTCTGAGTCTTGGGAACAGGGTAAAAAGTACAAACTAGCAAAGTGGTGAAATTGAAATAATCCTATTGAATAATAGCTAATTTATAATAAACATTAAGGAATAGTTTTGCACTGATCACGTCACAGAAGTTAGTCCCCCACATCCTCCCCCCACCTGTCAAATATTTTTCCATACAGGTCAGCTTTGGAACTGACATACATTAAACACTGAGCTGGGCTCAAAAGAAACAGATTCAGGACAATGAAAGTATTATTTGACATGACAAAGGGTTTTCTCTTTTCTCCCCCCAGTGGCTAGAATGCCAATGCCTGTTAAGCTGACAAACTAACAGCATCCATTTCATCCAACCAGACCTCTTCCCCAAAACCTCACCCCTTCACATATGCCCCCACCCAATAGAGATGAAAGCCACCAGGACTTACTTTTGTTAGACTTTTATTTTGGAGGATAATGCAGGAGAGTTTCTGTTCTAGGTAAGCAGGTGGAATTGTAGTGCTCTCCAGCTACCTAGGTCCCCAGGTGGTTTTAGGAAGCATTGCAGGTTTCTGTGAAGATTGTGAGATTATAGTTGGTATTTGAGATAGTTAATCAATACGGGAGGAATATCCAGCTGGTCAATGTTATATGGCTGGTTTGCCTGGAGGAAAGCTCTGTGAATAATTAAACGGGCCTGTGATAGTAGTGACCTTGGAAAGGCTATAGCAAAGAGGAACAGAACATAAGAATCATTTCTATCTATAATCCTCCCATCCAAACAACTCTTCCTTTGATGTTGCAAGCTAATTATTCTCTCTAGTCTAAGAAATGTCCCCATCTCCCTAGATGCATGGTACCAGTGGGAACATACTAAGACCTAGAAAGGGCATTCTCAAGACCACTAAAGTTACTGGCAAAGGCAGAACCAGAAATTGGGCCAGTGCATATGTTCAAAGTTGTATTTGATATATACCCCCATCACACACACATGCACACACCACTACCACCACTACCACCACGACCAATACCACGACTACCATATAACCTGAAAACAGACCTTCCTTAAGCAAACAATCTGAAAGTGCATCCCATTGGCATCTGTGGCTCCTACCACCCCCACACATTGATCCAGCTTCCCACACAGAAGGTGATAATGCCCACTTTGATCAACACTATAAAAACAAGCTCCCGGAACTGCGCAGCAGCATTCGCGGCCGCGGGACATCTTATTATGACAACTTATTATATCATTCCTACTTTGGACAAACTAGCAATGAGGTACAGCAATACTGACCTTTATCGTTTTGCAAGGTCAGCTGGGGGGAGAGAGATGGAAGGTAGATATTAGCACCAAAATCAATTAACAACTGGATGTACTCTGGCTCACAACCAAATGTAGCCTGCCCACACGGCAGAGTCTGGCAAACTCCCCGTGGCGTACCCAATATGCCAAATACCAGTAACAATGGTGGGTCTCATTCTCCTAAAGAGCCTTGAATATAATCTCAGTGCTAGGATGAAAAAGACGTTACTGGGGCCTGCTCGAGGCAATCGACGAATAACAGGATGATTTGTGATTTGTGATTGTGATTGGTCAACACTGGGCAATTGCTATCCTACAGTTAGACAAGTGATACCTCCTCTAATAAAGAATATGTGACTGCTTTTCTACAGGGGCCCCAAGAGAGGAAGGGAAATGATTCTTTCTCTGATTCATCCCAGAAGAAATAGTTTGGAGTGTTTAAGGGCCTGGGTTCTTCAAACTAAGTGTTTAAAGGACTGATTACCTTGACACTCACCTCAGGCCTGCAGCAGCAATACTGTACCTTTATCGTTTTGCAAGGTCAGCTCGGGGGAGAGAGATGGAAGGTAGATATTAGGACCAAAATCAATTAACAACTGGATGTACTCTGGCTCACAATTATAGTGGAGGCAGATTTCAAGGAGTGTGCGGGATTGTGAGACACGAGCCAATAGATTCTGATCAGTGCAGTTGTAGTCAGGGTCTGCTCCATGTAATAAAAGAAGTCGGAAACAGTCAAGGTGACCATAGACTGTGGCCAAATAGAGGGGACCAGAACATGAAGCTATGTTTGATGTCAAAGCTTGTAGTTTAGCTTTGACATTGACCTCTGCACCATGACCCAGGAATTCTTGAAGAATGTCAAAAGCACCATCAGGGGCAACTGTGAGAACAGGAGAGCAGTTGTTTTGGATGCTACCACCAGGATAGGCACCAGCTTCCAAAAGCACACACACACACTCCAGATGACCATGAGTGACAGCAGTAAAAAGTGGTATCTGTGCTTTGACATCCAAGCTATCAACATCAGCACCATGTGCCAGCAAGACCTACAAACAGCTCAGGTAACCATAAGAAGCTGCCAAACGCAAAGGTGTCCCAGGAATGCCCCAGCCACTCCTACTGTTGATGAAAAGTTTGTAATGCTCCTGGTGCAAAAGCTGGTCCAAGGTATAGGAGTCATTGTCATATACTGCTTGATTGAGAACCAGCTTTTCCTCTGTGTCAGTATCCTCCTCCTCATTATCAGGCTGAAGAAGGGAGAAGATCTTGTTGATGTCCATGAGATTCATCTTGACTGATTGGAGCAGAACTATTCTCATTATGTGTCAGAACCATTGGTAATAAAAAACAAAAAAATATTGAGGGCCCCCATTAAAAGCCTGTATTTGCCCTGCCACCCTTCAGAGACTTTAGTCATGAGTTCCTTGTTTCTTATTCCTATCCCATCTGTTGTCATGTCTCAAAGATAGCTGCCAAAACAGACTGGGTTTTTTTCTCAGCTTGGTGCCTCTGTGTTTGTTGTGCTGCCTGCCATTATAGCTCTTATTTCTCGGTATCCACCCTTAATCACTTCCTCTCCTTGCTCCAAAGGATTATAACTGGAATGTAGTGATTAATTTTCATTTTGTTTTTCTACGTGTCTTTACTTTTATCTGTAAAGTCTAATATGAAGATATCTGTATTCATCAACTGTATTCCTCTACTCCTAGAAGATCTACATCATGCCTTAAATTTTTGTAGGTGCATCTTCATCCTTTCAGAATATGTAGACTAATGAGATAGCTATGTTTTGGCAATTCCTAGGCCAATAGAATCACAACAATATTCTATTCCTGAGAATTCTATCTCTCAGTTTTTAAGATGAAGTTATGTCTCTTGACAACACACCATATGTGTTTCCCCACATGCTCAGACTTTGTGCTTTAGGCAACATAATTGCTCATAAAATTGAGCTTGAGTGACAATGTTTCATTAAATTATTCCAAAGAAAACAATGCTAGTAAAATGAAGTAAAAAGCAAATGTCAGAAAATAGTTACAGTTTTTAGAGCAAGTAACTCTCTCTCCTGGAACCACTTTAATCCAGAGTCCTTTTGATTGCCATACCTCCTTTGAAACTATGGCTTCCCTATCACTTGAAGTTAAGCGTTTTCCTTCCTCTCTGACCTATCCATCCTGGAGTTTCTTCTCGTCCCATTATCTCCAGGCCCCATGGAATCACCCATGGCCCAATTACTGATGCAATGTAACCTTACCCGTCTTGTTGCTTGTGCTCCAACGTCAATATCACCCACCTCAGTTTGGCATTAGATAATGTAGTAGGCTTTTCAGAGCTCAAGTCTCCCTACTCTCCCATACCCTGCAGTATCTCAGGGCCCCATGCCTCCTTTAATCTTCTTTGACCACCGCCACCCTTCTTTGTTAGTCTGTGACTTCAGGTCCATACCTCATAGAAAAATTGTGAAGTTTGTGTGTGGGTGAGAGTGGGTGTGATCTCTTCAAATTTAGGCCTCTTGCTAACTGCTAATATCTTCATTTGGGGAGTAAAATGATAAGAAAACTTTAGAAATAATGAAGATTTAAATTTGTAATTCAGCATATCCTCTTTCTATCTGAGTAAACTTGAATGATTCTCTTCCCTTCTTTGTGACGCAGATTCATCAGAAAGAAGACTGAAAATGTGAAACTCTGCCTTAGTAGGCTGTAAAGAAGAAGAAAGCTACAATTAATTAGCTTTTCATAGAAAAGCCTAATCTCAGCAGCTTTAAATTCTTAACTAACTCCTCCCCCTCAATCATTTTAAATTACCTTTCTCTTCTTTCTTTCCTTCACAAAAGAATTTTCAAATGTTCATTTCTCCACCTACTATTCACTCCTCCATGTTCTTCACTATGATCCACCTACTCTTGATACAAACTAAGAAAGTTCTTAAAAAATTTCCTAGTTTCTTGTCTAAAGAGATAATACAAGGGGGTTGACCCTTGTCTTGCTGACCCAGGTTTGATCCCCACCACCATATAGGATAACCAGGTGTGATCACAAAGCCACCAGTAAGTCCTGAGAACTGCCAGGTTTGTTCTCAAAACAAGAAAACATAAAGTTTCCGTATGACCCTGGGATTCCAGTTTTTGTAGCTACTCACAACCTAAAAGCATTCATTCAAATATATCCATGCACTACAATGTTAATTTCAGCATAAATTTAGATAATCAGAATATGGAAATGACCCTAGCAAATCAGGGTGTTCAAACTCAATATGTCAAGATCCTCCGTGAGCTGTATTACGGATTCACTACCAGGATCTCACCATACTACAAAGAAGTGATCATCAATGTCAAGAGAGGGGTTCAACAGGGTGATACTATTTCACTGAAACTCTTCAGTGCCACCCTTGAGAACGTCATGCAACGGCTGGAATGGGAAAGAATGAGAGTGAAGATAGATGGTTGACAACTACACCATCTCCACTTTGCTGATGACATCGTTCTAATAACACCAAACATCAGCCAAGCGGCACAAATGCTGGCCGACTTCAACCGTGAGTGTGGAAAGGTTGGATTACAGCTGAATCTCACAAAGACAATGTTCATGAGAAACAGTCTTGTTCCTGGCGTTCCATTCACTCTCAACGGAACAGCCATCTCTAAATGCAACAGTTATGTGTACCTAGGTAGAGAAGTCAACATGACGAATGACCTGGCACCTGAGTTGCACAGGAGGAAGAGAGCAGCTTGGAATGCCTTCAAGAGCATCGAAGAAATAACTAAGAGGACAAAGAACCTCCAGCTCATCTCTTCGATTCCACTATTCTTCCTGCATTAACATAAGCCTCAGAGACTTGAGCCCTAAGAAAACAGGATGAGAATGCTAGTCGGGTCTCTCAAAGAGGAATCGAAAGAGCTATGCTAGGAGTATCACGCTTCACTTAAATGAGAGAAAGAATCCGGAGTTCTGACCTCCGTCAATGCTCAAGAATTAGGGACGCTGGCTCGTTTGCCAAGGCATTGAAAATCAGATGGGCTGGACAAGTAATGAGATTGAGAGACAACTGCTGCACTAGAGCCATTACTGACTGGATTCCACGGGACGTCAAAAGATCGCATGGACGCCCACCTACGAGATGGTCAGACTTCTTCATCAAGACCCTGAATGATCGGTTTGAGGCTCTTCATGTTCCTAGAATGAACAGATGCCATTGGGCTACACTAGCACACAACAGGAATGAATGGAGACGTTACTGGCACCCGCTCAAGCAAATCGATGAGTAACAGGATATCAAGTGATCATGGAAATGGCCCAAATGTCCAAAAATGGATTAATGGAAAAAGAAGTTGTGATACATACATACAATGAAATACAATGAATCAATAAGAAAATATGAGATATTGACGTTTTGTTCAACCTGGGTGGAGCAGAGAGTATCATTACATTAATCAAACTAAGTCAGAGTTTTAAGGGCAAATCACAAATTATCTCATTTATCTGTGATATATATAGAAACAAAACAAGGAAATATACAATACTACATATGACAAATCATTAGTCTTGGATTATAAAACTGAGATTTTGAGCAGTGAGGAAAGGGGAAGGATGGAAAAGATGAACGAGAAGGAAAAGCAGACTAGGAAGGGTGTAGAATAGGGGTGGAAAAGGTGAGCATACACAGTGGTGGAAGGTCTTGGATACTTTGGTTATGGTGAGGTGCAGTAAGTTTGTATGTGAAAATCATTAAAGTTAATAAAATTGTAACCAAATTTACATAAATTACAATTAAAAACATTTTTTTCAAAAAAAGAATCTACTGGCTGCTTCTCTCACTTCTTAGCAACATCTTTTCCTATTGACACAGTTTCTTACTCCTTCTGATCATCATTCTCATCTGATTTTTACCCTCTCCTGAATTAGGTATGTTCTATCCTTGATTTTTTTTATTTCCAGTTCCAGAGTTGTCTCTATCACTATTATTCTCATGATTTAAAGCTTGATTCTCATCATCTTCCCAACTACTCTCTCCTTAGCAAAAAGTGTGTATCCACCATGTTTCTTCAGAAACTTCTAAGTCAGCAGTATCACACTGCTTTTATTATCACCTTCATTAACAAATGTTATCACTACCCCAGTTCCTTAATATTCGTTTTCTCAATCAAACCAATATCTTAAGACTCATCTCAGTCCTACCTTTGTCTCATTTAATTTCAGTTGTTAATCTAGTCCTATGAATCTTTTTCTCAAAGGCCTCTATAAGCAAACCACATGTCTATCCTGATTATCAATCCTGGATACCATTATCTTTCACCTTTATTGTCACAAATGTGTCTTAGAAGACGCCCCCTTTCAATATTTTCTCCATTGTGATTATGGGATTCTAAAAATATAAATCTGACAAGTGTCAGTTCCTGGCTTTAAACAATTTAATGGCTCCCTTTTCTCACAGAATTAAGCCCAGATGCCTTAACCTGTGTAATGCCATAATATTCCTCTAATTACACCACAAGGTCAAGTGATAACAGAAGGCAAATGTGTCTATGTAGGTCACATTTCTTTCTGTCATATATTAATAAGGCCCTCCCGTTGATCGTCGATTTGCTCGAGCGGGCCCAGTAACGTCTCCATTGGAGACTTTGTTGTTACTGTGTCTGGCATATCGAATATTCTCGGTAGCTTGCCGGGCTCTCCGAGAGGGGCGGAGGAATCGAACTCGGGTTGGCCATGTTGGCCGCTTGTAAGGCGAACGCCCTACCGCTGTGCTATCGCTGTCATATATTATTCTTTCAAATAGCTTGGTTCTAACAGAGACCTGCTCTAGAGTACTGTAGCAGTTATTATACTGTATTGTAACTTTAACATAGGTCCATTTTATCTCCACTGCAGACTGAGATACTTTATAAGGTAGTGGCAAAACATGGGGCTTGAAATTCTGCTTTATTTACAATTCACTCATCGAGATTCTGAATTTATTTCAGTGGAATTCTCCACCACTTAATGGTTGTGTGACCTGCGACAGGTTATTTTATGTGTAAATTCCATCTGTAAAGAGATAATAACACTACCCCCTCATTTAGTGTTACAATTTAAATTAGTTAATAAAGTGCTTAGGACAGTGCCTGTAATAGAATTAGGTAATTATATTTACTTTTATAATTAGTGCTTTCATTTCTATGACTATTGCTCATAGCTCACTTAAAGAACCTCTGAGATGGAAGGTACCATATAGATCATTTAATTTAATCTATACAATACAGATTTGCTAAAAACAAGGCTCAGAGAGATTCTTCTCCCTAATGTGATATGACTGTTGTACCAAGGAGTATATTTTGCAATGTCA